TTAGTCATCGCTGGAGAGGATCGGTGGAAGACTGCCGCTCCTTCTGGAGTACGTGTTTGGACAGCGATCATGCGTTGGTCCGAGCACGTATATGCCTGCGTCTCAATGGACGTAGAAAAAATTTGGCAACAAAACCACTACGAGTTCTGCTGGACAACGAAAACACCAAAGCCGTGTTCAGTGAGAAGTTGGCTAGGCAGTTATCGGAACAAAAGACTGTCACTCATCCAGAAGAAGCTTGGTGCCATCTTCAGTCTACTGTAAAAGCAGCACTGGAGACTGTAGCCGACTCCAAGATAATGGCTAAAAAGAGCCAGTGGATATCAGCAGCTTCTTCCAAACTAATGGATGCACGTGAATGCATCCCTGCAGGCTCTGAGTACAATGAAGAGCGAGCGCAACTTAAAAATAACTGACGAAAAGTCTGCGCAACGATCGTGAACAGTGGTGGGCAGCAAAGGCTAAAGAGATGGAAAAGGCAGCGGCGATCGGTAACAGTAGACAGTTATTTAGACTTATTAAGGAGACTGGGGGGAAATGGTCAACAACAGTTAGTGAGGTTATAGCGGAGAAGGACGGATCTGCGATTCACTCGCAGGGAAGGCGACTGGGACGATGGGCAGAACACTTTGAGGAACAGTTTAACTGGCCTCCAGCCACCATTGCGCTGCCCGCTATCCAGTCGGACCCTGAATGGGACATAGAGACAGGTCCCCCAACACTAGAAGAAGTTGAGAAAGCGGTAGGTAGCCTGAAACGGGAAGGGCAGCAGGACCAGACGGACTACCTGCTGAGGTATACAAGAATGGTGGTAGAGTTCTCTTAGTCAGGCTAACGGAAGTGTTAGCCAGTATATGGGAATCAAATACGATCCCCTCCGACTGGTCTAAGTCACTCATCATCCCAGTCTTCAAGAAAGGCGAGAAGTCCTCTTGTGATAACCACAGAGGAATCAGCCTGACAAACATAGTATCTCCGACGCCTGAGTGGAGCTCGGGAACAGCAAGCCCGAGAAAACCAGGCAGGCTTTAGACCTGGCCGTGGATGTATCGACCAAATATTCACACTGCGCCAGGTCCTGGAACATAGGCATGCTTACAGACGCCCGACAATAGCTGTATTTCTCGACCTGAAGGCGGCATTTGACTCCGTTGATCGAGAAGTCTTATGGCAGTGTCTGTCACTGAAAGGCGTGCCTAGTAAGTACATCACCTTATTGAAAGCTCTCTACTCGAACACTTGTGGGCATGTTAGAGCCTATGGTGAGTTGTCCAGGGAGCTATACTCATCAAGTGGTGTCCGTCAAGGATGCCCACTATCCCCATTCTTATTTAATTTTATCATAGATATTCTTATGGAGGTTTCCCTCTCGTCACCTAATTACAAAGACGTTGACAATCACAGGTGAATTTTCCTTAGATCTAGAATATGCAGATGACATAGTCCTGTTAGGTGAAGACGCTGACAAGATGCAGAGTCTTCTGAACACTTTGAGAATGTTTGGGATGCGATTTTCACCACCCAAATGCAAATTTTTGCTCCAGGACTGGTCTTCAGCGGTACCGCGGTTAACAATAGAGAGTGAAGTGGTTGAGTGTGTTGACCACTTCACTTACCTGGGAAGTAGGATCAACCCTGGTGGGTTAGTTGCCGATGAGATTTCTGCACGGATACAAAAGGCTCGATTGGCTTTTGCCAATTTGCGCCACCTATGGCGCCGCCGTGATATTCGTTTGTCTATTAAGGGTCGCGTGTACTGCACAGCAGTCCGCTCTGTTCTACTGTATGGCTGTGAAACATGGCCATTGAAAGTGGAAGACATGAAAAGGTTTCAGGTGTTTGACCACCGTTGCCTTCGTAGTATAGGACGTATTCCGTGGTGTCACCATGTGAGTAATGCAGAAGTTAGGTGTAGAGTTTTAGGGAGAAGAGGTAAGTCAGTCGACGAGGTTGTGAACCTTCATCGACTGAGATGGTTGGGACACGTACTACGTATGCCTAGTCACCGATTGCCTCGTCACACAATGTTGGCTGAGGTGGGTTCAGGCTGGAAAAAGGCCCGAGGTGGCCAGACTAAAACATGGCACCAATGTATGAAGTCTCTGACTGTTGGTTTAAGCCATGTAGGACGATGCAGACTAGGTGGTTGGGGTCCACGGGACAAGAGGAACCAGTGGTTGGAGACCCTAGGTGATATGGCTCAGAACCGAAGTCAGTGGCGCAGATGTATACACACATTATCCTCATCTTAACAACGCTATACCGAATCTCACTATTTTGTCACTCCTCTTTCCTTTCTTCTCGTACTTTATATTTCTTTTGACTGCATTCACTTATCTTCATCCTTCACCTCACTACCTTTTTACTTGATGTGCTGATATGAGGTGTGGCAACTCGGACCGTTACGCAGTAATGCCTGGTCCTATGTTGATAATGATGATGATGATGAGTGTTGACAGAGCCGTAAGGACAATCGATCCTTCTAAGTCACCCAGACCATGAAAGGTTACTTCTTCTTGAAATACCTGAGAATGAAGTTGGATTAGTAATAGTGGTGTGTGTGTGTGTGTGTGTGTGTGACTGCACAGTCCAATCAGAAAACGGTTGAAAAGGGTCACACAGCCTTTTCGGAAGTTTGAGATTTAGGTTTATTTGTTTTAAATCCACTATAGATCCATGCTGACCATACTGGAAGAGAACAAAGCTGAGAGGAGTGTACTACTTTTGGGTTTGACCTTTTCTAACGCCTCACCTTCTCCCATAGGGAAGGCAGCACTATCACGGTACTGTTGGCCATCCACGGGAACACTATACTTCTACACACTTCCATTCAGCCAGTAGTACAACTTCACCCTCAGAGCTCATCAGAACGTAGTCATTTACACCATAACGGTAACTGTTTTTCGTCTTACAATTCTCCATCAGACCCTTCTGGCATGGTAGGAAATCAAGGGAACAATTGCTGCTGTTGCATCATCACAGTTCGTTGGTCATTGTGATATCCAGAGCTATCCAGTAAGTCAAGGTCTCAGCTGTCGGTAATCCTAGTGGACAACAGCTTTTATGTTCCTAGTAGATACCTGACTAATCCTGTACACATAACTCGACAATAAACGCGGAATTACCAGTATTTAGAAATTTTTCTAGTTTGGATTGTGATCGTACATGTTGTCTGATATTCCAAAAATCTCATGGCTAAACGGTAAGATCCTAATTCGTCTGTTGATTTCCGCTGTAGCATCGTTTGCTTTGAAAGACAAAATAACTAATAATTCAAGACTACGTCAATATTTATTACGGTGATTATTTGCCTTTTTACTCAAGGTGTATACAACTGATAAAAATACTATGCAATAAAATGATGCCATTTTATTATGTAAATGGTGTTCTTGTTGCATTATTCACACTTACTACTCTCTAATAAAAATGGTTGTATTGTGCTTTGCGAAAGTTTCACTATACAAATAGGAAAGAAAAACTAGTTAGTATCTCCTCAGAAATTTAGGAAATCCTTAGGGCTGATAAGCTTGACAAGGAATCTGTTGATTTCATTCATCGATGCTCATTAGAAATATGCAAAGCAAGAATATTTATTTAGGGACCTAGTATTCGAAGTTGATATAAATGTCAAAATTTTTAGACTGAACAGAATCCTTGTTTTATTTCTCTAATTAGCTTAATCGCAGCGCTTATTTTACATAAGATAGTGTCGTTTCGAACAATAAATTTTCATGTGATTCTACTTGCTTCCGTGAAATAGCACCCAATTTGTACTACTGGAGGATAAAAAGGACTAGCTAAAGAGGGATTCGTAACACTATCACCATAGGTCAAATGTCAGTTGGCTATCACACCTGTTTTAAATTACTTTATTTCACCTTATGATACAAATGAATTCTCTTTATACTATACTACAGATGGTCTAAGTATCACTGATGAAACCTGAGCTCCAGGTTTGTAAAAGCATCTTACACAGTCCCACTTGTTATTATGAACCAAACCCCGCGATTCTCGAATTTGTAATATTTTTTTATATTTCATGTCGCAACCCAACTTGTGAACTAGTAGTTTTCTGCACCTAACAGTTATGCTGATATTTTCTTGCCGTTACTTTTGGAAGCATGACTGAGGTTTATCGGTCACTTAGACAAACGTACGACTCATTGTTCTAAGCTATCGACTCTCAAACAGTCGATGGAGTTTCACTGGTATAAGACATAGTCCCTATCACCAACGTAGTTTGAATGGTCGGTTCGTTTTATCACATCACTCTGAAGTAACACATAATACATACTATTGTACAAAACAGACTGTTTCAGAGATTTTGAGTAATAATTATGATTACAAGGTGGCAAATCAGCTGCATGGCCTCCAAAGTCACCATGGAGATACCTAGAAGAAAGTTTGTTTGTTGAGATACAACTCAAGTTGATATGACAATACTGTTACATGCTATCTACATTTGTGAGGAATGAATGATGCACTAGGATTGATGCGTAGTTGCGCTTAGATCTATTGCACAAAACAAAGTAAGTGAGGTTAATAAATGATTCAGTAGGCTGACTACTTACACTGGTACTGGAAACTTTATCATCCGTGATATCTTGCAACTATTGGAAATGTCTGGGCAGAGCACATCAATCGCTAATACTAAATTTCAGCAATAGGAGTGATCGAGTTACGATTATATTAATGAAGCAGACCATTAACTACTTATATAGCCGAGCCGAGCTGTGGCTCAGTGGTTTAAGGATACGACTATCAACCGGTTGCTCGCGGATTCGGGCAGCAAGGTAGCATCAAACAATAGGTATAGTTCACTGCCTACTGCAATGATGTGCACAAGGTGGTTGAGTAGGAACTCTATTTTTTAAAAATATTTCATATAAGCGCCAACATATTGGGCATATAATAAGACACGCTAAAACTGTTAGCTCTTATATTCATTTGGAAATGCTAAGACCATATTTTCGGAAGGAAAGATATTTCAAGTTAATTACCTCAAGTGAACCAATCCATTGGCAACTACCAACAAAGCTTTTCGGTTTATCTCCATAACGAACAAGAGAATCTTGAATATCCCTGAGAGAAGGTAGTGGCCCTGGAGTTATTTCACCTTGCCACATAAGCCAAGATATTAGAGTTTGAAGTGACGATATGCGCAGCCCCAGTTCTTATCATCTACTCCATCCTGAAAAAAGAGTAGAAACTTTACCAATATCAAAAAAAATCACAAATTAAGAAGTGATTAAAACGACAGTGTTTTGAAAACAAAAAATAATCCAAGTACCACACCTTTTGTTTCCATATCCCAGACTTTTATGATTGACCAAGGCTTCGCTAAAGATTTAGAAACGCTTCCAATGACAGATACACAAAATCAACGTAGAATTTCGCACATAAGTGCACTGGGTAGAGTTGACGCACTTCACAGTAGTATACATAGAACAGTTGGGTAGAAAAAGACTGACATCAAAGTAGACACAATTGTGTGAGAATAAAGAACTTCAAGACAAAGGTCAGTGGGAATACTCAAACTTAAGAAGCAGTCAAGGAGTGTAGACATATGGGGCACTATTGAAGAAACAGAAGACAACTCGACGAGAGAATGCTTGTTACGAACAATTGGAATAGTAGTGGTTACATATGGTACTCCTTGCACTAACGCAGCCATTTGCAAATGTCTTCGTTTCCTCTCCGTTCCCGTCTTGATTTGCCCTTGATCGGCTCTACATACACTCTTATCAGCAGCATCCCCCGTAATACGTCTGTGCTGTTCCCTGCGTTGCTCTTGGCAGAAACCTATTCCTGATTCCTGCCACCCTCTCAATATATACTACTTATATACGTTGTTATCAGCAACGCCCACTACGCTATGGCCGATTTCAGACAATTCCCCAATAGTTCTCAACCACAAATATCCTTCGCCTCAGGGGCCCCAGTCAAGTAGTCTATGTATCCTAACACCCATCAGACCAACAGCCACAGACTTCATCGACTGGTGACGCGTCTTGGTCTGGCCACTCTGAACCGTCTTCCAACCTAATCCAGCCTCCCATAGCATGGCACATCGACAAAGGCAGCAGCTCAGTCCGCATAACACATATCTAATGTCTCATCTGATGAAGATTCACAACCTCATCGACGGACTTGGTTTCCCCGTCTAGTACCATACGCTTTATTTCAACACTGCTCACACCATGATTCCACTGAACGCGAACAATCCTACGAAAATATCTGTGAACTAAACCCTGTTATTACTTCTCATCTACTTGCAACGGCCATGTCTTGAAGACATATAACAGGAGAGAACTATCTGTAGCACAGTTTACTCGTTTTCAGCAGACAGCCGAATATCTCACCAGTCAGCGCCACAGATGACGAAAGTAGGAAAATGCCAGATCGGTCAGCTGTAATCAAGTTGAAATTTCGTCAAAAACCAGTCCCTTCGGGCTAACGTAACTACCCAAGTATGTAAACTCCTTGACAAATTCCACCATTTCACTCTATATAATAAAATTGGGAGTAATTACAGCTGACCAGTTTTGAAGCATTATATTAAAATTCAAAGATGATTCTTTTCAAATTGTTCTTTTTTTATAAGAATAGAAGACAAAGACGCAGCCACATACGGATTTAAACACAAGACAACACTTACAGTGTGAAAGCAAATTAAACCCAGGAGTTGTCTTAATTCTTAAAAAGGAGGGTTCCTACCTGCCCCCGTTTAAAAAAACAATGCTAAATCCTCAAGACAAACGGTAAAACGTTGGTCAAAATAAAACGAAGTACAATCAGAACAGTCTACAGTCAGGCTTCGGTTGCACACAATCAAGCGCAGAAACAAGAATAGGACGTATACCAAAACTTCTCGACTCCTCCAGAAACTGAGAATGTTATTTACGTTCCCGAAAAGCTACAAATCAGCAGGACCTGAGAGTCTGAACATGAGACGTTTATAAATATGAGGTAGGAAATTACTGAGTAGAGTAATGTAGATGCTAGGTAGCGTATGGAAATTGGAGATAGTTTAGTCACACTGATCTACTGCAGTGATTATTATATTCTATAAGGAAGGAGAGGAATGTTCCTGTGGATAACCGTAGGGGAACCGTTCCAATAACATCCTGCTCAAGATCCTGGGATCCGTAGTTATCTGACACCTGATTGGCGCTCGCGAACAACAAACTTGAGGAAACCAGACAGTTTCAAACCTGTACGCGGATGCACCGAACGAAGACATATTTACGAGTGGCCGACATTTGCAATATTTATCTACCTGAAGACGGCGGCGTTCGACGCTTTTGACTGTGAGGTGTTTGGGCATTTTCTGACTGAGAAGGGAGTACCACGTATGTAAGTAGCGCAAATTGAAACTCTCTACTCAAACTCGTACAGCTGTGTAAAAGCTTATGGAGAGTTGTTATCTGAGTCGACAACAATCAGAAATGTTTTTCAGGGATGCCCGTTGTAACCGTTCTTCTTCAACTTCTCCATGGGCATATATTTGGACATAACCTTAGTTATCTACCTAGTGGAGAGTATCTGGTTGACTTGGAGTGTGCAGATGATATTGTCCTACTAGGTGAGAACGTTGACAAGTTGCAGCGTCTTCTGAACGTCTTGAACAAAAGTTTGAGTATGTTTAGCATGCATTTCGCACCTGTCAAATGCAAGATTATGCTTCAAGACTGGCTTGAAACTACTCTCAGTTTAGGATAGGCAGTAGTAGAATGCATCGACCACTTCACTTGTTTGGGGAGTTGTATCAGCTCTATCGAGCTGGTTGCTGACGAAATCTGAACTCGGATGCAGATGGTGGTCCGTTTAGCATTCGCTGACTTGAGTCATCTCTGGTGTTGAATGTCGGGATATTCGGCTATCTATAGAAGGAGAAGTATACTGATCTGCAGTCCGTTCTATCCTGTTATGCGGTTGTAGGACGTGGCTGTTTAAAGTAGGAGATATGAAGGGGTCACAGGTTTCTGACTATCGGTGTCTTCATAGCATTGCTCACGCATAATGGAATCGCTGTGTGAGTAATATCGAGGTGATGGGAAGGGTACTAGGCAGGGAAGTCAAGTCAGTCGATGAGGTTCTGAACCTTCATCAACTGAGGTGGCTTGGATATGTGTCGCGCATGCCATCATTACCTACCTCGATGTGTAATGTTAGGGGAAGCTGGATTACGTTAGAAGATGGTTCAGGGTGGGCAGACCAAGAAGTGGCACCAATCTATGCAGTTTCTGACTATTGGTCTGAGCTTTATGGGGAGGTGTAGACTAACTGGTTTGGGTCCCCGAGACTATGGGAATCAGTTTTTGAGGACTCTTTGTGACATCTTTGAAAATTGATCACAATTGCGCAGATGTATTCACTCTTCGATGTCTTCTGAAGCATAGATATTTTCATTAACCTTCATGTTCGAATCGCTTATCCTCCCGTACACATGTTTTCCTACTTTGATATGAGTCTTTTTCTCTTCACCTGTTCTTTGCATGCTACTGTGAAGTGTGGCATCTTGAACCGATAGCCTATGCGAGTATCTAGGTTGATTTTGTATGTCTGCCTCTTCAGCATAGTGGACGCATTTTTTGAAGCACGATGAGATTCCTGATTGAGCTGGTCTTTTGCGTTTGTTTCGACAATCACGTAGGAAACACACAATTTTCTCGCATATTTCATCCTGATTTTTGGTGTTTAAGAATTCTCCCTCTGATTATTTGGGGATAGATACTGGTTTTGACTGCTTTTTGGTGATTGCTTTTTTATACGCTTTGGATTCATTGCTCTTCTTGTACTGGTAAACTTTATCCATACAAATGATAGACAATGGGTCCTATTTATATATATTAGGGAGCCTTGTTACTCCTAATCTTTGTGGGTTGACTGGTTATTATCGAATAAGATGTGTGCATGTGGATTGATGACCTCGCTGTGTAATTTTTAAGTTTTTTTGATTGCTGTTTGGTTAACTGGTTGCTCAAAATTAAGTCTGGTACAAATTATCTGTAGACCAGATGCACCTAAACGGAACTTAGTTTTTTATCAGTAATAAGGAGTGGAAAACGGTTGCTATCTAACTGAAGAAAATTGATGTTAAATTATGAAGCAGAAGTAAGTGATATACAGCTGGTACGGATACAAAAGGTAATATGTGCTGATGTGACCAAGTACATACATAGGAAAATATTTAAAGAACCATTTGCAACAACTTGTCTGAGGGATCTCAAATGTGAGTAGGTGGAGTGCCCTACCAAACAGCGAAACAAGGATTGACAGTCAGGTGTGTATACTCACAGTTCCACAAAATACAGTCACTTTCTCACAAATTGACAGTTGACTCTTCTAGGCATCCCTAATGTTCGGAAAAACCTAAAGGTGAAGCTACGAACTGAGAAAACGATTTTGAAAAAACCATTATTAATTCACCAAAACAGCATATTGCTTATTCATGATTTGAAAGCTGTGACGCCGATTTAATCCTTACTTACTGTTAGCAATAACAAGTAGATAATACGTTCTTGGATTTCTGACAAATTAGAACTTTGTCACAAAACAAGTACAGAACGACTAGTTTTATTTCATAATGTCTCAGTGATAAAAGGCCTTACCTATATTATCAAGGGAATGAATAGTACATTTTTGTGACTGAACATGGCAAGCATGAACATAAGGTCATAAGTAAAGTTGCTACCATCCCTGTTTATTTTTCTTCATGCACAAAAGCATTTGAATGTATGGGTGAAATAAAATTACGCTATCATGTACTAGTTTGCATCCTAGGCAGTAGGTCATATGTATTTTGTCAAACATAGATAGATAGAGGTGTGCTGGAGTTCATGACTTCAAATTTTACTGTCGAGATAAATGGGTCTATTTAATAGCTGTTGAGCAATAAAAAAAGACGATTTATTCTGGAAATTTTGCTTTTCTCAGTCTAATGGTAAACGATTAGCAAAGCAAGTACTAAGTTTGCCACCAATTTACTTGTTCAGAATTTCCCGATTTCGCACGGTTATTATGGTGTGAAGTTCGTCTACAACAGATGTCAATTTACTTCATGAAAACCTTTTATATTGGTGTATAAATGTCAGAGGAATTAGGACTACGAAGCTTAACTGACACAGATCAGTTGTTTAAATTTCAAAACACCGCACTACCTTAACACATAAACCTCGCATAAGATAGGAAAGCACTTTTGTTGCTAACCGACATTGTGTACATAAAATTCACAGGAGAGTAACTAGTTGGCAAAGGAAAATGATCTTTAGTTAAGCAAACGATAAAACAGAAAAGCCTAACGTTTTTCAGTTTTGGATGCAACCTTAATTATAAAAGGAATAAACTAACATTCGTTCTGTGAAACGCTTAGTTTAGTTGCATTTATACACCGGTTCAATAGAAACAAATAAGTGACATGGCAACATTTTTGATACGAAAAGCAAATAATAATTACACACTAAATAGATTGAAGTAAGTGAAATAGTAATACCATGTTTAATAAAGTTAACACCAATGTACACAAGATAAGGTTGATACTTAAATTACTCAACATACTTGGAGGTAATGCTTGTAAGTGTACCGACCAGTAACAATGTAGGTAGGACCTAATTTGGGTGAATGTTTAACGACTTCATGAGGACATACAAGGATTTCTGAAGACGGACCGAGCCATTTAACTAATCTAGGAACTGGATGGAGAGCTTGACCTCGTCGAAAGAGAGGGATATTATTTGGAAAACCATATTCTGCAAAAGAAAAAAAATCCATGCAACATAATGAGGACTATTTAACAGAAACAACGTAAGCTGTTTGGCATTAAAAGATGATAAAATCCAGAAAGCTACACTTTATTAAAAGTAGATAGATTGTTTTCAGTTATGGGGAAAACAATACAATATTCAGTTGAACAGTTTCATTGGAGACTCAGGATGATCTGTCTTCACAGGTAACATTTTTCCAATTTATTTCAAGGAAACCGATTGAATTATTTATTGGATGAATTCATCGCTCATATTCAAATCAAAAGCAAAATGTCATCCAGTAAATAATACCGTATCACTGTGTTATATCAAACAAACAATCTAATATAGAATTACATTCTGCCACAGCGCCTAAGTTTTACACTTCCATTAAAAATGACTGAATTTGTGCATCAAAAAATGCATTACGCACAATCAATATTAATAGATAACAGAAAAGAGATAGAAGAAGAATATGCGGGAAACCGTCCCATAAGATACGTTCGAAGTATTCATTACTTCTGCGTTACTTTATAATAATAAAACAAAGGAAGTAAAACATGATTTCCACCGCATGAAATTCCAAATCATATCTGATATCATCTGAAGTCGGAGTCACATTACTTCTCGGAAGGCACTCATGTAATACACGTGATACGACAGAATATCACAGGCTGGCAACCACTTCGTTTCCTCCAACCAATCGTACGGAAACAAAAAAGAAACGCACTCGGCCACCTTGTGCACATCCGTGCAGTAGGCAATGAGCCACACCTTTTGTATGAGAGTTAGTCATACTACCTGGCTGCTCAAACCCCGACAGGTGGGGCGGGGTTCAAACCCGTGACCTAACATACAACCATACATACGACCAAACTTTTTGAGTGCTTTTAACCGTTTATCTCCTGTTGATCTTGTTAATGTAGTCGCATTTCGATGATGCAGTAGAAGTGCCATACAAACGAACAAGTTGACGTAGAACCCAGCATAGAAGCTATTTTTTCAGGTTGCCACACTCGATAGCGGTATGTACAACATCGTGGACAGAAAGAGTAACATTAAGGTAGACAAAATGTATGAAAGTAGACAGAGTGATAGTGGGGATTGACTAAGCGAGATTTACATGATTCATATGAACGTACCTTCTAAGCTATCTTGATAAGTGACTTCACTGATGGTAAAGAGAAATCGGGCAACAAACTGCTAGTTTGGAACAATGGAGGGGAAGAGTTGTCTATCTTAATTCTACCTAATATTTTTCCTTATACATCTTTAAGATGTCGATACACATTCCGAATAAACTTCTCACCAGCAGATACGGTTATAAAATACAAAACAACAGTTATTGGGTCCCCACTGACTTCCCCTCTCAATTAATTGTAAATAATCAGGTTATATTTATGAATAAAATTTTGAGTTTCTTTCACAATGCATATGTAACACTTTTATTTCAGTTAATTAGATGTGAATCAAGACACGATCAATTGTTGATCTTTTTGATCATCACTCTATTTTAGCTACGAAAATAATCACAATGCAAATGTAGTCAACCAACTATTTCGTCTGGGGAGTATATGTTAGTCTGTCGCACCACTTCACATACATCTCCAGCGAACGAAGTCACCAGGATTCAGTCAGTTACTAAAGAGATAGTTTAAGATTGTAGTCAATTAGAATGCTATCCTGCCTGAGTCGAAGGCAACGAGGATTTCACAAAACACATCCATTGTTGTTTTGGATGACATATAAGTGTCTAAACATTTAATGGAGAGTTGAAATGTGATCACTGCACCTAAGAAACTGGTTCTGCTCAACGCACTCGGACTTTCGATGCATTGTTCAATGTTTGTACGGCAGAAGATGAATGGAAGCATCGAACATAAGTGTTAAAAGACCAACGCTTTTATAATTGTGATGTATATTACGAAAATCTTTATTGAGGTTGGCCTCATCTCACGACAGAATACCTTCAGCTTACCATATAATCTAGTCAGTCCCATAACTAGAGTCTCTGCAATCTCAAAAGATTCAGGAAATCGAGGTTTATGGCTTATCGTCTCCTGGAGTTACGCTTTGCTAGGTGAATCAGTACCGATCATAGATGAGGTGTAAGACACCAAAGTCCTGATATCTAGGATGGAAACCCGAGTATGTCATATTTAGAAGCATTCCATCAAGCGTTTCATGTTTCTTAGAAGAGATCAACATTTAATCTATCTCACTGGGAAAACTGCATTTGCTAACTGTTGGAATGAGACAAAAGACAACAAGAAGCAAAGCAGACATATGTACTCAGAATTAGTGAGTGAGAGGCTGTTCAAACTGTCCACTTTCATAATCTTTTCAGATAGGGTTGAAATACGAGATGAAACTAATTGGCTTACGTAAGGATGATGGTTGTGATAGACATCAAAATGTGAGACGAAGTCAACAGACGCAAAAGCGCAATTAAAGTTCAAACGCGTATTATGTAAAGAGGGATATTCCTATTAACACGTACTTCATCAACAGCTGGTTTCCACAGGATCTCTTTCAACCGACGTTTGATTGATGAGAAGTGACAGTAGCAAAATGGTGAAAGCGGAACTAGAAGTTAGTGTCAGCTCGACGTACATTGTGATCTGCAGAAAATAAGTCTGATTATCCAACCTAGGCCAACTGAATGACATAGATGATTAGTTTCCGAATTCTTACATCGAAATTGTGCATTGAAATCTATATCTAACACTGTGGCATCAGTCGAGTGAGCTGGGCAGAATAGGTCACTCAATTGATAACAAAATATGTATATTAGCACCCACGCCCATACTAATCATAAAGCCCTGTGCATTCTGTGCAAGCAATTCAATAAATTGGATGGGTATATGGGTGAATTTTCAATCTGGAAAATTTCAAGCAGTAGAGCCAGTAACTCGCAGGCTGATGGTTTGAATGTTGTCACGAGCCACGTTTTCATTTTACCTCAAATCATAACCAAGTTTCAACATTCGTTCCTCTTCCGGACGCCACGAGCCATGGGAATTGGTGGTTTGCAATGAATGGTTTACAACTCCTTAATACCGTTATAACCCGAAAATTGATAATCGGTGACTATAAGTCTAGATAACTTTGAATATCAACTATAAGCCACTAAAATTTAAAATAATTTACGAATTAAGTGCGGAATAGTGTTTTTACTTTCAAGTATTTTCAAATATTTGAAAGATAGCCATCTGTCGAGGAAAAAGGGAGGAATAAATCAAACTTTGGTCTAAAAAGAATTTTGAAAACGCACAGTATGTGCTCTTTCAATTTCACAGAGACCTTCAAGAGATATAATGATCTATGACATGGGTAAACAACGGATATTAATGGCTTGCTTACAATAAATTTTTCATTATAATCAATCTTTTTCTGTTAGTCCCTCGAAACTTAGTTATCCAAGCAGAATATGGGGAAATAATAGTTATTCAGCCTGAAACTTCAGTACAGTAAATTAAAAAGGAAGGGAAGTATTGAAATAGCTAAGAGCACACAAGTTGATGTCAAATAATCCAGCATACAATATGTTTGAAGTCTAGAGAAATATGAAAGGGGACGTATGATCAACTTTAATTATTCTATGTTGTCTATGTTTCTCATCTCTAAGCTTGAAAATTAAAAAGAGCTTTCTACTGTTCTGATGAGAATACCGTTACACAAAAGCCTGCTTTTCTTTACGAAGCTGGTTATTTAAAGATTATTGATCGACAATTTTCGGTGAAGTTGATTTTCAAAAAATTAACTGTAATTCAGATCTACAGAAATCCTCACTCTAAATGGAAGATACGTGTCGAATTCTACTCAAATATTTTAAATTGTATTCACCCACTATCACATTACGGCCAAACCTTTCTTCTTTGACATCAAAAAGTCAAGATCTATTCTCTTTAGTGTTTTCAATGCTCTAATCCTTAAAAGAAAGACATCGTTTCCTAAAATGAATATAACGTAACGATCAATCATTGTTACGTATGTATGGCGACTGACTTTTTACAACGATCCATCCCGATTTGCAAACTTAAATGTGCCTTCTTGTAGTTTGACAATCATGTGACTGGAACAAATGTATTACTAACTAGACAAAACGAAGTAGTTGGTATCACAGTCTTATCTATTCTTTGTCCTCGGACAAGCGAACAACTTCAATAGACTTGATATACTAATGACTCATTTTGCATCATCTATGTATGAGAATACTACAATTCTCTTGTGTTTGAATAGATGAGAATACTATCAAAGTCTTATGTACCAAATGAAGGCGGGGAATGTTTGACATTTGGAAACAAGAAAGAAGAAAAATATTATTAGGACTAAATATCTAGTCTGTCTAAAGATTTTCAATTCTAACACCATATTTATTTCAATTTATGTTAGCCGGTTGTGATTACAGTGCTGTTTGCGATGGGTCTCATTGGACTAAATACTCGGCTTTCAAGCAATAGGTCACGGGTTCAAATCTATCTGCACCTACCGAATTTCGGCCAGCACTTCGACTTCGTGGTGATGTTAAGTGCAGGAGCTGGAGTCGAGGATCTACTATTTACGCCAGTGTTGTGATATATTTTTGGAGAATAAGTTACTTAACAATAGGTGAAGTGTATACTTTGTTCCTAATGGGTATATAATTGAATTAAAAGCAAAACAACCTTTACAAAATAAATCTCTTTAAAAGAAGGTTTCAAGTATCTAAGATTGGTATTAATTAACTCCCTTTAGTTAATTTAAATTAATCGAAACTATGAATTTTCGTAAAATACTGGCAATTACTAATCCATTTTAACCAGTAAGGGTTCCAAAATGTACTTCCTATGTAAGGTTATTTGCTAATTGTTTTACTCGATGGATGTTTGCTTCAATAAAAAGAATGTTTAGAACTATGATCAATGAAATTCAAAGCAAATGATGTGCTATGGTTTATAATCAGGAAGCGCATCGGAAATAGTACAAAATAAATAAACATACTTTCGTGAATAGCCATACGCCATACTTCTTCACGTGGTTCTTCAATGCCTTGGGGTAGACGTATACTATACACAGAAGACTCAATCAAGTAGTGATAAGATGCTAACATTTTCGGAGGGAACTTAAGCTCTCTCCAGAGAAACAATAAAGCACGGTGATAATGATCAAAGAAGGAAGATAATCTAGCGCAAAGTGCGCTATGAAATAGTTCACTTCGATCTAAACTGCAAATGAAATCTATCGGTATGTGATGATAATAGTCGCTAGTAGAATGACGAGAAATCTGAAAAGTTGGTGTGTGATCATACGAGGCATTATCAAGACTGAAAAATACTATGAGCGACATAATATCCATCTCATCTCTCAATTTTGTAAGCGACTGAATAATCTTAGATGAATTATCCTGATTCGAATCCGCTGATAAGCACAGAGTATCATGAACAAAAATAGCTGACGTCAGTAGCACTTTTAGCTTTTGAAAACATTGAAATAAAGACTCCTCTGAAGAAAATCTGATTTGTACTGGTTTACGGCTTCTTATTTTCAGCAACAGGCATTCTGAACTATTAGGTAACTCGGCAAAGGCCTCACACAACTCCATTATAATAGGCTGTTAGAGGATCAAATACAAAACCTCATCAACAGTCAGATTCTAATAGTATCAATGACGCTATTGTAAACCATATTACCAAAAGTTTGTAAGGAAGGGCCACAAGTTCAGCACGTCGGAAAAAACCATTTTAAGGAAATGTTGAATTTCAACCTACAATCGAAAAAAATATAGCGAAGGTTATTGAATAAAAAACATTAAGAATATCTACAATATGCTTCAATTTTAGAAAATATGGTTTAACAAGGACTGCGTTGCTAGTCCAATCACAGGAATGATTCCGGCGGTAAATTAGAGCCAAGGTGCTGCAACTACCTGATACTCAGGAAATACCTCGAAGTACTACCATTTGCCTAACACATTGCTTTCTCAGACAAATAATTCTATATCAGTCATATCAAACTTTATGTATTTTTCAACAAATTTTCATCCTACAAAAAAAGAAATCATATTTGTGGCACAGAGAATAGTTCATAAACAGGTTTGCGGAAAATAAGCAGCATATTGATTCAATTCTTAATCCTGCAAATGATAGTGATTTATATCCGAAGACGTTAGATGACCACCAACGAGACGTTCTAAAACTACTTTTCATGCTTGTTGACAGAAACTGAAGTAGCTCGTGCCTCGTTTAAAAGTTGGAATAGCATCAACTAGTTGGGTGAGATTTCCTAATCATTGCTTTTAAACACCGGAAACATAGTACAGATATCTCCATCAAGTTGGTTATAGAGAACCACAACTCCTTACTCACTAGCGTCTGAAGAGACTTTTTCATGTGAAAACACTTTCAGGAACACATAAATTGGTCTCAAGCTTCCCTTCAACTACCCAATATCCGGTCGCATTTCGCATGGACAATTGGCATAGAACAAAAGCTTTGGCAAATTTGACATTTAACCCAGAACAATTAAGGGTAATAGGTATTGATATGTTAATTTCGAGGTATTCTCAGATCTAGGTATTAACTAAGGTGTAGAACTGAAATAGACTTTCTTCCGACATGCAACTTAGAGAAAACAAGGTAAGTTCAAGACGAGGTTGAGCGTGTTAACCAACTATTCAGTCCTCGCGGGAGTGCCTGTTAATTGTCGTATTTCTTGGCCAGAATGTGACACTTGATTTTTCCGACTGGGAAGCCTCCAAATGGTGACTTCCATTGAAAAGTGGGTGCTTAGATAGTACATCACTTTAATGAGGGTATTATACTTGGACAATTACGGATGTTCGAGCCTTTGGCGAGTTGTCCTCTAAGATGCTTACTTGATGTATTGAAAACCAACGATTTTCTTCATTTGTTCTTGCCTGAGCTTGTCATAAATTCCTTACGGAAGTTTCCTCAACTGACAGCATAGAGACAAATTTCCTGATGGAAAAGCCACAGTTGACTTTCTTTCGAATCCTTTTCCCTTTATTGATGGCTTTTTACAACTTCTGATACCACTTTTACTTCTTTTTTCCTCTGCTGTTAACTCCAACTATGATAAGCTTATGAATCACGTAACAACTTGGGAAGTACCTATCACATTCGGTATGGAATATTTGTCTGCCAACAATTAAGTAGCTTCGCGAAACTACGTTATAGATGTTTCAGAATATGGACGATAACTCTAAGGAAAGTAATTAAAGTTAGGGATCATAACACTCACAAACTAGTCGATTGAGAAGTTATAACAATTTCAGAGTTCCAACTCCGTATGTAGCAAATATAACCATTGATCGGAAGGGAAGTGGATACCATCTGAAGACCTTGGATGATAGTCGCGGTATATTGCAAATTGATAGAAGTTGGAAACTGTGGAACGTCGAACTCCGACCCAGTGGCTGAATGTTTAACGTGTTCGCGTTGAAACCTGAAGGTCCTGGGTTCAGTCCCTAGCCACAGGCGGGTACTGCTGACGAGTTCCATACTAGGATAAAACAGCTTGCCAATGCTCCAAGGTTTTCAGTGGTTTCCCAACTTATGTCAGTCCGTGATGAATACTGCTTCAAAATATAATAACAGCCTAGATGAACATTAGATTCAGTGGTTTTCTGTAGGCTTGCTAACTAGAAGCTGTTTGATATCTTCTGTGAAGACGCATAGCATAACCATATTTTAGTCGCAAACAGTGCATAAAAATATATTCAAAAAAGCGCTGTTGTTCGCATCTTCAGAGAAATTATTATTGAAATATCAAACTAACTTTCTGCAAACGAACCTTTAGACCGTGATACCACCAACATTTATATGCCACAGAATAATATTCAATGGAAAGTGTAGTTAATCGGTTTTTGTATGACTTCATCACTGAGTTACGAGTTTGAACAAACGCATGAAGCAAATTCTTATCATACATACAATCGGTGGTCAGTTTACAGTCCATTAGACAAATCTGAAAGCGGTCGCTGAGTTGCATTATTACTTTTAGTACCATGTGGTAAGGAACTTCGTCGTCTTCTGGAGCCATAAGAATTAAAGGGCGAGCGATAAGGAATCTGCTACACATGAAGGAGAATATATATATATATATATATATATATATATATATATATATATATATATAGTTTCGTTTCAGGAGAATAAGTGGGTTAACCTAAAAGTTTCTTTTTAACTGCCAACTATGAGAAACGGCTCCAGGGAGAACAAGATCATTTTTCTTAGAGGGCATCTGACCTGTGAAATACATTTTTAAAAACGAAATGTCATATTTTCATCAAAGACGGAGTGTACGGTATGTAAGTTCACTCTGACTTCCCAGAGATACATCAATAGAACTAAGCACGTTAATTTCCTTATTTATTATTCACACTGACAGATCTAAACTCAGTAGCGCAAGTATAGGAAACTAGCAGTTTTTGACTGCTTGCGTTCGTATTTTAGTTTGAAGTGGTCACCACTTGGTAGAATTCCTGTTTCGATGACTAGGAATACCTAATATCTTGTGGGCTATACAGTCGGCACTTTGGGAGAACTTTGTATTTTCCACGCAAATATCGGTAGAAAAACTTTGGGATCACTGTAGACAATACATATTTGTTCCCGAAATTGTCAGAGTGCGCCCAAATTGCCCAAGTTGTCTACAAACTGTCTGCAGTGCACCTAAAGTTTAACAAATAAGGTATCATGACAAACAGTAAGTAGTGTATGTGAATAGAATTTGCATATGTGGATATTAATTCGTAGCGTATGGTATCTGTAAATGTCTATCAGCTTCCTAAAGACTATAATCTTCCGAAATAAAACTTATTTTGGAGGCATGCCAAAAGTTTCAAACTGCGCCCGAAGTTGATTTCGGGAATTACAAAAATGTCTGTCCACCCAAAGTGTTTACCTGCTGCTTAACAGCATAGTGTCAAGTCAACAAGTAACCTACGGCAACGAAGCGAGTAAAGGCCTAGATCCTTTAGCTGATCCGCATATAATTTTTGTCGCATTCCTAAAAAACTCGTTCATGCTCACATCTTGATTTTCTTCAAGATGTTCCCAAATCTTTTCATGTAAGGGGGTGTAACGACGTTATGAACCTTCAATTGACCTTTTTAAAATTTCAGAAATAGCTTCTAGCTCATGGCAAGTAGTTTTCTGTGCATGAAGTCTAGTGATGTGTAGACTTTGGAGGTATCTTAGATAGTTGGATCTTGTTCCTAATTTTTTCACATTTTGCAATGCACATGAAAAGCCATCAAGCACAAAATACAGTGATATAAACATTGGGTAGCTAAGCGAATAAAGATAAGACTAAACCATACCCTCGGAAAACACGTTAACTTTTGTAACGCTTTACCTTAAAGAACGTCAAGTGTACAATATCCAACACCAGAGGAACAAGTGAGGAAAACTGATTGCTTTGGAACTCTGGCATCCACTTCATGTGGTTTGACTCTTTTTGTTCGCATTTTCTTCCGTTGTGGGCGAGAATGTCTCTTTTACTCTCTTATGTTTAGCTTTAGTGAAATGAGTGACTGCGGATTTCTACTTTCATTTTGTTGACTGAGATGGCCTAAACGTTAGTCTTCAGTAGAAGATTGTGTTAAGGGCCTCTATCCACACGCGTGTCTAAGGAGTAATGGTAGGGCGAGAAGCTGAATGAGACGTTCCCGAAAAGTAAAAGTGTATTGGATGAACGTAGATACTACAAATAGGCTGCATAATAGCAGGGAAATCAAAACGAAACGATAGTGGATAACAAATCAACAGAAGACAGTGGTGGATAAGTTCGAGAGTAGTAAGGTTGCTAGTGCCTTGAGTGCCCTGCCGGTAGGTCACAACAGATGACACATTTTGTTCAACCTCTTAAAATAATTCTGCTGAGAGAGCTGCAGCCGTGACTAACAGCAAATTGTTCGGTCAAGTAGATAAACTTGAGGGGAAGTTCCGTGACCTAGGCCCGGATGTCGGCTCTCTGACATGCTTGAGTGATTTGCTTCCGTCATGCAGCATAACATTTCGGAGGTGAGACCATTTTTTTCGTGACCGAATGCATAGTTTTGTAGGCCATAAAAGTCTGTGACTGTGGATAAAGCAAATATATCATCAGTACAAATGTTGCCGTGAACTATATTTTCGTTAATATAATGGGCAGTCTGTCTGTCGCAGGAGGCCATGAAGTTCACGACACATGTGCATTCGCATCAAAAGCCATGCTGATTAGTATGAGAGGTGTTGTTCCGTCCAAAAAGTCCCCAGATGAAATCTACTATCAAGCATCCCTGCGGTTCGAATAGAATGGAGGGTGAGGCGGTCCTCCAACAGTTGCCATGACTCTTACTGTCCCTCTTCTCAGCAGCGTGCCTACTGCTTTGATCCAGAGGTTGGCTATACTCTAGTCATTGCCTTAGAGAGGTAACACTCGTTTGCCTGGTGACTCATGACTGTTCCTCAGGACTATCGGTTATAGCTCGTCGCAGCCAGAGGACTTGTCTGGCTATGATGTGGACATGAAAATGTGACGAAATTTTCACACACGTAGGCTGCTGAGGATTGAGCCGGGGTTGCACTGTTCGGCATTTCCTGGTGGTTGGGCTTGCTAGTCAGGTCCCTCAACACGGCCATAGCGCGTTTTCTGTACGACTGAGCGCGAATCAGCACCATTAGGAGCAAGGGGTGAGTGAGACCTGCGTCACTCACCATTTTTTCCCACGGACCCCAGCCCTTATGCGGTACAGCTACGGCACTCGCAGTGAACTCTGTCACTGGCCAATAGGTCCGTATCTGCTACACACGTATTTCAGTCAGAAACGCCCGGTGAATGCCACGAGTTTACAGTGGCTAGGATGTCACCCAAGACCATAATGCACACATGTAAAGGGTTGTGGAGGAAGAGAGGCGCCTTGACCATTCACAACGTTACTGCGGTTGAGTGATGACCATGGACAACCAGTTTGGGAGCGGTATTACTCTGCTGCATGAAGTTTTGAGAAGTTCAGTCTGCGAGTAGGCGCTCGACTCATCAGTCTATCCCCCCGCGAATATCACTGAATATTTATGGCGAGGTTATCGATGTCTATCTTTTTGCTTAGCAGATCTTGGCTTGCTGTCAAACAGCCAGGTTGTGCCTCCTACATATTTTCAGTTTTGTAAGAAACTAGTGGATCCCATATGAGTGGCTCATGCGGAAACAGTAAAGCTGATCTCAGCACTTTTTGAATCACCTGGTCAGTGAGCATACAAGGTTAAATTAACTGAGAAGCTCCAAGAGATTAGCTATTTTCCTGTTCTTCTAAAATACCAAGCCTACAAAATTCCTTTCTCTTTAATCTGTTCACTGAACGACAAGCATACGAAAGCACATGATATCCATTGGTAACAACGAAATGTTTGATAGAACGTGACTTACTCAGCGGTAGGTCTGGTGATAATAAGGGAGTTCCCCATACATAAGGTGATAACGTAGCATAAAACCACTAAAGACCAGCCAACACATAACCCAACACTGACATTTCCTATGTAATGCAGTCAGACAAGTTGACACATTATACAAAAAACAGAACTCTCGATTAAAAATGCTATAACAAGCGAAACGATTAGTTAAGGCTAGGCCCTACATTTCTCAATTTGCACGGCGCTCGAAATTAATAGTGGCCGCTCATGTCAGTCACGCCAGATCCAGCCAACATGGCAACATGCCAGATGCAGGTCGCATTTTCGGCTAGCGCGATTTGGAGGATGTCACAAAAAGACTACATGTCATTTCAGGAGAACAAATCTAACGGTAGCACGGAGCTTTATTCGGTAATGTAAAACAGGCATTAAGTCTCTCTTGTCACCACCCGGTCAGTTCCCTTTGTTCGCTGTACAATGAATTCGTATCTCAATGCTGAAACCTCCACGCAGTTTCCTTGTCTATCCTCAGCTTTTACCCCAGACTGCCTTCTGCCACAACTGCAATGCACACAACCAGATAATTTGCCTCCGATCATTGACATCGACTTTTATCCGAATTACATCATGCGTATGCATGCAAGAGTTTTTGGAGCTTCTGAATTTCAGGGAATTTTACTCAATATATAGAATACCACGACAAGTTGAATCTGTTTTCACATGTGCTAAAGGGAACACTTTTGTGTCATCTACATATCACGTCTGGTATTGGAAAAAGCCTGTTTGCCGCCATTCTTTTGTGCTACTTTGAATTGTCGCTGCAACGGTTAAACCTCGCAAACGCCTGTGCGCGGTCGAGGGACACATACCGAACTTCTGCCAACCCGCCAGGAGGCGTAAGTTGTGTCTCGATTCCACATCATTTTCTGGGGGCTCACCTAGGGCAATAATGCTTAAATGGTTATCAGAGTAACTTAGTAGTAATGGTGGCGGCAAACTGGCCCACTCCCCCCCCCTACAAAGTGCCAGGGCTCAAATTAACATCATTCTAGAGAAAAGCACTCCGCTAGTGCATGTGTGGAATGAAACCAGCCAGGCCAGCCCTGAAAAATTACATGTAAGTTTTTATTTCATTTGTTGCAGAACAATTCACCAAAAGGATTATTTTTACTGCAGTGCCTTTATTGAACAATCCCCTACCCCTCAGTAAATCAGTTTAAAGGCTTGTGCTCACAAGGATGCAGCATGCTCCTATCCAGTATTATGTCTTCAGACTAAGGAAGACACCAGGTTACACCACTTCCTCAGTTCTATTCAGGTGCAACTGGGTTAGGCATGCATGCTATTCCTAAGGCCTGGTCGACGTAAAAGAGCTCATACTTCATGTAAATAAATAAATAAATAGATGTTTGTTTAAATCTTGAGGGGGTTGTGGAGATTTGGAAATATTTCAAGTTGTTATTCATCGAAGACTGACATCAGTTGGAGGAAAAAAGGAAACCTGGGAGCACTGGACAGCTGTTTCGTCCAGGTTTATTTTGTTCTTCCAACTGGCGTCAGTCTTCGATGAGTAACAACTTGAAATACTTCCAAATCTCCACAACCCCCTCAAAATTTAATTGAACTAGTGCTCGTTGGTGACTAGCTTCGAGAAGTATTCCCGAAGTTCTAATGACAAGTCGTGACCGGTAGAGTCAAAGCCTGATGGCCGTGAGGACAAATACTCAACGATGACATTGGGTGGCGGTTTGCGCTATATCGTGAGCTAACAGAAGTTGGAAATATGGAGCATTGGATTCTGACCCAGTGGCTCAATGGTAACGCGCTGGTCGCGGAACCTGAAGGTCGCGGGTTCGATCCCTGCTGGTGGGGTCGTGGGTGCGCACTGCTGAGGGGTCCCATACTAGGACGAAACAGCTGTCCAGTGCTCCCAGGTTTCCTTCGTTCCTCCAACTGATGTCAGTCTTCGATGAATAACAACTTGAGATGTTTGTTTCCCACATCAGCAACTTAACACGAGAGCAGCCAGTTTAAAGACATCATCAGGCTGACATGTCGAAAACTTCACTAACTTTTACCAGTCCTGAATGGTGCAGACTGAATGCCATTAAACTCTATTAAAAACAGTAGAAAATCCTACTAGTTGTGTAGCGAACAAGGAAATATCACATTTCAGCGTTTGCAGAGAGTTAAAGTTTATATAATAACGTATATCATCCTCATATAATGGATTTAACATGAGGGATGTCAGTTTAAAAGCGCCGTCAAATTCATAATTAGTCATTAGTGTGTATAATCCTACTAAAGTTTGCGGAAATTCATGAGACGGACGTGGATTTTCACCTCCCATCATACAGGCAGGTTCCACTATCAACAATAAAAGCACGCGGTGTTCGAAGTTTGCATTATAACCAGCCAACGTTGTTAGTCCATCCACGTAGCTTGCTATTTAGTAATTTAACAGTCTATTCATTGGAACGATCTTCAGTTTTTAGCTTTACCGACCACAAAGAACCCATTTTTACAATCTGGGGTATGAAAAAGTGTCCACAGTTGTATAACCAGCGTGTATGTCTATATCAATGCATTTCCAGGTCACCATGTTACATTTAAAGGTAATATAAATCAATTACACCAAGAATATTTGTTGTATTGGATTAATCCAGACATCCAAAAGATCAGCAGTCCAAATGGCAGTATTTATAAGCAGACTTCGGATACCTCTTGCATCAGCGTAAGCAGCACCATTGAAAAGGTGTAATTGTCGCATAGTAACTCACATGAAAAGTCCATTTGACACAGAGTACTAGAAAATATGTAGTGTAGGGAGAGAAGTACCTATTCTTATAGACCTATTTGAGCTTTATGTACATTTTGGTGTGTGTGTAGATTGAACTACACAGTTTCCCCACTATAAGGCTCCTAAAGTTTTCTGTTTGTTGTGTGCCGTAGTGGTTTTCAGAACAGTATGTATTAAGTTCATTATACGGAGAGGAACCAGTACTCACACCCTTGTATGCAACCGTAAGGCCATCAGCATTAAATGAACTCGAGGGCTTTTATAACTCTGATACATACACCTAGAAATCTATACACGTTCACAGTGGACGCAATGTCTCCACCATTTTTACCTGACAATTGTTGCACTATACTTCGTATTTGTGGATATGATATGAATGCCAAGAAATTTATAGGCATCCGTGAACTGTAGGAATTCATTGAGTAGATGTTGAAACTGAAATGGGAACATGCAAGTGCGAATACATTGTGGGAGCCTACTCCACAACTTGCCTTGCTGTATCATAAGGGATCGAGACCTATGTCTGAGGGAAATTTTTTGTCAGGCACAGTCCACTCACGATTGCGTAGACTGTAAGAAAACGTGGGCTTAAAAGTAGAAGGGCAACAGGCATGAGTAATCTCACGCAACAGGCTGAAAAATAGGTTAAAATACAGCTCAAGGCGTCTTGGCCAAAGTGGGCCAATCTTCCGTTTCTCATACCTTCCTTCACAGTCAAGTTCCTCATGACGGACCAGTACATAGCGGGTAAACTTTCCTCGAATATTCTCAATGCATATCCTGTCCGAAGCACGCATACTGCAGAGGATGACTGTGCCATATTCAAGTACTAGGCGGATCACTGCTTCGAGTAAAAGCGGTCTGGTCTCAGTGGTATATATGTGTTTAAGCAAAAGGCCGACTGAGCGCCTACACTTCGATACAGGGGACTGGGCGTTCTCCGTAAACGTCAGGTTCCGAGAATACCTATGCCACATATTGAGTTGTATGTTGCAGCACAGAACCGCCAGGGTGTAAACTGACGTTTAAGTAGGAATTATTGAAACGGAGAGCTCCTTATCTACTAGAGTTGAGTGGAAGTTGCCATATTTCGCTCCAAGCGAACAAATACGTCAGGTCTCCACGGATTCTATTAAAATCCTCACTTAGTAATGACTGGGGGGAGCTATGTACAATTTTAAGTCATCAGCAAACAGGTAGGGACTACCATATTTTATCACGCTAGAAATATCATTTATGTAAAGGAGGAAGACTAAGGGCCCCAAAACACTACCCTGAATGACACCACTCAAAATAAGCTCTGGGGAGGAATATGGATTGGTCAAAATCCCTGAGGAGTTACGACCATACCAATGTCAATTAGAACCTGCCCCTAATATCACGAAAAATAAGCCTGGCAAAGATCTTAGTAATAAACTGACAGACCATACGTTGGTGCAAGAGTAGCTGATTTTTGTCGACCAACACTTCATCCCCACATGGCTAAATAGTTGGACAAGAGTATGCTTAGTTGATCTTAATTTCTCAAACATACACGTCGTTTGTCCCCGACAATGTACTGATCCTATGGACTCACTCATAAATGGTTCAACACAGCAGAATCCCTTATCCTTAATAACTAACGTTCTGCCTCCCATACAGCCTGAAGTATGAACATGAGACTGACTAGGAGTTTCGCTGCATGACGTCAACTCCAAGCCTAGGACAGCCAGTAATCTACCTGCAATTGCATCAACACATTCCTGCTGCAATGTGTGCATGAGTTTCAACGAGCCCAAATTAATCGGTAAAGGCGAATCACCGCCTTTCGTCAGCCAATCGAATTTCTGGAAAGTGTCACCACTTTGTCACCCCGAGCTTCAGACTGACAGCAAAGTTACTTCCACGTGTGGCAAACTTCCTAACCTTGATATGGGTGGGGAGGTTTGTGCCAAAACTTGGCAGTCGACATCCAATTTCAAGGGCACCAATGGTCACGACACAAGCGTTGTCCAAGCCCACTTTTAATGTTCACTTTGAAATCCAAGGGTGCTTGTCAGAGCAACTTCATTGCAACCAGTTGAGCAAAGTCTGAAACCGTTTGTTGAAGAAACCCAGTGTACGAGGGGTAAATTCAGCCATCGTCAAACATCTACTCTAGGTTTGGCTGGAGTTGTTATGAGTGGCCTTTATACCGAACCTGCCTCCGTATTCGCTTCCACACTGCATGATAAAATTTTTCTGGGCTTCTTGGTTTGTCGGCGCAGTGGTAAGCCAGGTGTTTAGGGTGGTCTCCAGCCACATGCTGAACGTGTTTACTGAGGGCTACCTGAATCGGAATGGCATCATGCCCCCTTTATACCCTCAGGCTATCATCCGAATCATACACTGTTGGTAGGGTCAAAAGCGTATTGGATTATTGCCCAGGCTGATGTTTGTCGACACAGTGCCACATAATAGCTAATCATGAGAGCAACTCAATATCGCCCATCCAGCATATTGGAGGCCGATATTGATTCGCTCAATATGTATAGCCTGGCTGCACAGAATCTATTTTAAGGGCTCCTATATCTAGATATGAATCTCGTAGCGTCACACACTTCTCAGAAATCAATAGCCTAGGGTTTGACGACTTTCGACATTGATGCTGACCCGGATAGCTCAACTGGACTCGCCAAGCCGAAGGCACCAGTTCAAGCATCCTCACCATTCGGCACGCTGTCGTGTTACATTGCACTGCTCGTATTCGACTCTCTAGCCAGTTAGTTGGAACGCATCGGTATCTTGGCCCAACCACACAAATATACTATTCCATCCGACTACCCTATCGTGTTCTTACTCGGCCTTGTATTCGTGGGTATATAACAAGTCCGAATAATTGGTGATTGGTCTTTGCGTCTGTCAAGTTCGCACCAAGACAAATCCAAAAATTTCATAAACACAGTCTAATAAGATTTACTTTGAACAAAAATAGAGAAATCGATGACCCTAACCGAATTGTGGAGCTCTTCATCTAAAATTTCACTGTCTTTCTGGTAAATCAATGTTTTTGGGTCAGAGCAATCCATGGTGCTATTCAGAGTTAAAAGTGCTTCTACAACAAATGACCCCTAAATCCTCTTTTATGAATGTCTCTGTTCATCCGGAAACCTACCTGTGTTCTTTATGAGCATTTAAAAGATTGCAGCCCAAACGATCCCCTGTCAGAAGTTTCCATGACGGTGCAAAAAATAAGAAGATAGTAGTGTGGATCTCTCATTCGGTAGCAGTTTATTATCAAGATTCCAGCCTCGTTCCCTAAGGATCAGATCTTGCGACAGCTGTTGGCTAGATTATCCTGAATATATCACCCGGAAACAATGCGAGGGGTTTTATGAACCCGTTTTGTTCTTCGACTCGCTGAAAAAGCCTAGAGCAGTCCCTTTCCAGGAACTGCTTATGAGGCTCAGGTCACTTGGAGTGGCAAACCACTAAAGTCGTAAATTCAACTAATCTCTGCATGAACATTCCCAGATAGTTAAATCATGCGATTGTTTTTAGGACCGTCGACCAACCACGGATGGTGTGATACAAGGAAGTATCATTGGTGCACTACTGTTTCTTATCAATACTGTTGGTATGTAAATGATGGCAAGACAATGGAAAGCCATACCTGTATGCTGACGACCTTAAGACCGTTCACTACTTGCAGTGCGATGAAGTAGACGAAGATCTGTAAGCATATCAAGCCGATTTAAATATTTTCCCGGATAACGTTAAAAGTGATGGCTTCCGCTTAGCCGCGAAATGCGTAAGATACTTTTCTTTCAAAAAAGTATTCCGGTGTTGCTCAGCGCTTGGGAGATTAAAAATTCAAACATTCAGTGGAGCGCGCGATTTCAGAGTCCAGTATTGCAGCCATCGGAAATTTACTGGGCACGCTGCAGATGTCATCTCTAAATCCAGATTATTAGTGGACCCCCTTCAAAAGGGTTTCCGCACAAACGAGGTCAAACTCTCTTTTTAACGTTTGGTTTACAATGATGCTGAAACGTAGTTCGTCCATCTCATCGTAGCATGAACGACGCCGACGAAATAGGTCTGGAATATGCAGAGGGGATTTTTATCAGACCGTAAGCAGATAGCTCTGGCTATCTCCATTACTCAAGTGTATGCGGTTCTTTCTGCCTTGTGAACCTCTGTGAAAACGTTGTTGAAGAAACAAATTGGTTTTCTTGTGCGAAATATTACATGATCCTTCCTAATCTTCTTTTCCATCCGATTGAAACCGTGAGCCGCTTTTTTAACTTAGAGGTCATACATCCATGCCGAGGATTGACAGGTACGACAACTTGGCTGGACAAAATCTCTTCACTACATTCCATATCTTAATCTGGAATAGGCTTCTCTCGTCCATTTACGAGAATATTACAGCCGTCATTTAAGTTGCAACTTTGGGTAAAAGGATGAGGATATACCACGTCAGTTCTACAACTTTATGTCGGGTGGCCGCTTGCGTGGATACCTTAAAACCTCCAAAATGCCAACAAATACTCCATCAAACCAAGGAGAAACTGAACAACCTGTAACACCTCACGGTCTGAGAGCCCTCAAAGCATAATCACGAAAGCGCTTACAGTCCCGTGAAGACTTGGGTCAAAAGTAAAGAAAATCTTCAGTTATTGCCATAACATTCAACTGGCTTCCTTCAGTTAAGAGATATCCATAAATCCTGAACCCGTTGTCTGGAGGCAACACCGGGAAATAGAAGAAACGATGTGAGCTTCCGAACGGTTTTGCACGCAGAACCGTTGGATAGATTTGGACATAAGATGCGGTAGACAAAGAATACGGGCAACCGAGTCTAAAACCCTCCACGTGTGAAGCCGGATAGCAGATTCTGTTTTTTCAGTGTTGCAGCAGCAACAGATTCACTGTAAAAAAGTAGCGAGTGATCTGAGAAGGAGAGGTCCGGTGATGAATGCAAAGTGTTCGGAATCAACCCCGTCGCAATTTGGCCATACTGGCTTCCATGAGGAGATAGATCGCCTTGCCAACACTCAGCGTCGCTAGAACTAGCAAACAACAGGTGTCTGCCCTCCCACTGATCGGACATCGCGATTTTCATCGACGCATGGGACAAACAGAAGTCATCAGACAGTTTACTCTTAGTGAATTGCACAGGACTGTGACCGCAGTGGCGTGCGAACGCCTGAACTGGTGTGTGAATCCACAGACGATTGAGTTACCATCTCCTAACACTTGGCAGCCATGAAAAAATCAGTGTATGCCAGTGCAGTGGGGGTTGCTGATAAGGATGGATATAAGCAGTATATGTTGGGAGGGTAGCAGAAATCATAGGGAATAACCAGCAGTGGGTAGGGATTCTGCCAAGAGAAACGCAAGAGACAAGGCAGGTGTATGAAGAGCAAATCAAGAGAGAAGTAGAAGAGGAAATGGAGGACCTCTTGCAAATGACAGTTTTACCGCAAGGCGTGCCACATTTAACGACTACTGTTCCACTTGTTGACAACAGACGTCCCTTTCCGAATACCTGTCTTCTTGCTTCTTTCAAGTGATGCTGCTGCTTCTGCACGTGATGAAGGTTTTGTGGCCTGCAAAGTTCGAGGATAGAGATATCAAGGTCTTTCTCAGGGACTTCGAGTCGGCCGTGGAGCTGGTAGGTGTCCGGGATCCAGGAGCGAAGGTGGTGGTACTTGGCACGTTGCTGAGGTGTAGAGCGAAAGCAGCGTATGACGGCGTGGAACGTGGAGAGAGGAAGTAGACTTGGCAGAGAATGGTTAAAAGACTGGAAGCGGAGTTTGACAGCCTGGTGGACAGGGAGCTGGCGATGCAGAAGTTCCGGAGCGCGAAAGTTGGAATAGACGGAGACCCGCTGGTATTGGCAGCGGAGTTGACTAAACTATTTCGACGAGCACTTCCCACGTTAGATGAGGAGTCTCAGGAGCAGTTGCTGGCTGCACAGCTCACGTAGGTGCCCTAAAAGCCATCGCCCAGTTGGTTAAGAAATACGACAGACTGTTCATAGGAGATGGAGGCCCCTACGGATACTGTGACAAGGTTCAGCGTGAAATCCCAGTGACCAGTCAGGTAACGACAACATTCATCACACGGTGCATACCACGTCACTTTAAAGAAGAAGTTGGGTACCAGGTTCAGGAAATGCTAGATCAAGGTATTGTTGAAGAGGCTGACAGTCCATACAGTTCGCCAGTACTTTTAGTGAGAAAGTCAAATGGAGAATATGGATTCTGCGTTGATTACCGAGAATTAAATAGCATAACTCAACTGGAGCAGTGTGCCATGCCTACGGTAGCGGAAACACTGGATCGTTTGCAGAATGCGAAAGTATTTACACTTCTGGACCTCCGCTCAGGCTACTGGCAGCTACCAATAAAAGGAGCAATACCAATTCAAACGAATGCCATTTGGTCTGGCAGGCGCGCCATTTATATTTAGACGATTGATGATGTTGTTGCTGACTAATTTAGAGAACGTAGAGGTGTATGGTGATGACCTGATGGTGTACAGTCGGACGGAAGCAGAGCATCTGGAACAGCTGGAAGCTGTTTTAAGACGCACTGACGAGTTTGGACTTCGCATCAATAAGACAAAATCTGAGGTAGCCAAGAAGAGTGTTACATTGCTAGGACATAAGTTTGGAAACGGTGAAATAAAACCATTACCTGAGAAGATTTTGACGGTTAAAACCATTCCGGTGCTAAATTCCAAGAGGAAGCTACGACAGTTCTTGGGTAGAGCAGCATTCTGCAGTCGGTTCTTCAAAAATTTCAGTGAGATAGCAGCATCTTTATATAAGCTACTGGGCAACCCGAAATGTTTGTGGACGGAGGAGGCGCCGAAAACATTTGATCACATCAAAGAACTCCTAAATGACCAGGAGATGACGTTAAAACTACCAATACCTGGTAGGCCATTCATTGTGTCCACCGATGCAAGTGATTATGGAATAGCAGCAGTCCCGAGACAGACTGAAAGAGTAGTGGAGTATGCCAACCGCCTTTTAACACCCGCAGAACAGAAATATTCTACAATGGAAAAGGAATGTCTGGCGATAGTTTGGGCTCTGGAGGAGTGGAGATCATACTTCCTTGGTCAACGATTCCATATTGAAACGGATCATAAACCTCTACAGTGGCTTAAGGCAGCGAGAGACCCCAGAGGAAAATTATCACGTTGGGTGTTACGGCTGCAAGAATATGACTTCACCATCGGCCATGTGGCAGGGGAAGAAAACTGGTTGGCAGACTTCTTATCAAGATCTGACGAAGAAAATGAGCTACCTGAGATCGCATACGGCGTACATGCAGTGGAATGGAACCCGTTAAGACTTATTTGCCTTCAGAAGTCGGGCCCAACACTGAAAGAAGTGATCAAAGCCATAACCGAAGGGACAGAGACACAAACGTCTGTGGGAGATAAAGAGTTGAGAAAGTTGTTGACGCAGAAAGAACGCCTACGGATGAATACTTAAGGAATGCTGACGTGGCAAGGAAAAACGACGGGAGCTGGTTGGCAGTAATTCCGAAATGTCTACGCGACGAAATGATACAAAAATACCACCAGTTAGCTCAAACAGGTGTCTCACGGACAACCGACCTTCTCAGACAAAGTACATACTGGCCAGATATGAAAGAGGATGTTGCCAAATACGTGCTGGGTTTTCCTCATTGTCAATTGATGAAAGGTGATGGGTATGTACGACCACCGCTTCAGTCGATTCCAGTGGAGTCAGTTGGTGGCCTGTGGTCGGTGGACGTAGTGGGACCATTTCCGCAGACTTCTAGTCGCATTCGATACCTGTTGGTGATGACGGAGCAAGCTACACGATGGGTAGACGCTGACCACCAATCACAATATGAAGCAACGACATGAAGAACTCTCCCTAAGTGGCCGTATCAGACCAATCCCAGAACTTAGCATCCTGATATATTTTAGCACCAAGCAAGAAGACCTTAGAAGCAAATTACTGGAGCTGAGAACAATGTAATCTCATCCGCATGCACACGTAGTTCCTGTTACGGAGATGTGGCCCTTAGCGGATGCCTGAGACCAGGAAATGCGTGCTGTTTACATGAGCTTATTCTGAAAGTGTCGACAGTTCAAAGTCGGAGGAGGGTGGGCATCAATACTAGCACGCACTTTAAAACTG